TGATGCCACAAGTTGTAATCCTCGTAAGGCAGGATTCCCTGGAGCCTGCAGCCTTCCTTCATTTAACATTGTCTGGATGGCATGTGTAGCAACTCTAAACTGAAAGTGCTTCCTGCCTTGTACTAAAACAAAAGACTAAAAATAAGTTGACGAATTTATCCTCTTTTTTAAGACAGCATCCTTTTCCTTAGGTGGACTTACTTTTTTTTGGAATGGGAAAGTGACCCAGCTTAGTAAAGATGAATCCAACTCACTGCCCCTTAAGCCTGGCACTTTTCCTTTTTTTCTCAGCTGCATCTCCAGACAGGATCCAAAGAGGTGTTTTACAACCTCTTCTCTGGGTTTTATGGAGACTTACTTTACCCCTTCTGTACTAGCCTTTTAAAGCACTGTGTCAACCTTAAAAGGGCACCGGAAAGGGTGCAATCTTATTCTTTTCTAAGAGGGAGCACTAGAATTACTGTTCCTTGTCCGAATATCTGAAAGTTGGAGGACTTTCTGTAATACCCAAAACTCCCAAATTTATGGCCAGAGAAGTAAGCACAATCACTAATGTAACAAAACAAGCTTGGTTTAAAAGAGCTTTAGTTTTATAATTAACACATCTGCAGGCTCAATTACAGCACCTGAAAAAGTAAGCTACATAAAAGGAAATTGGCCTTGTAAACATACTCAAGCAACTATAAATGATTTTTTTATACTCAGAATGCCACAAAGCTTGGCACCAGAGCTCTTGGACCTTCATGAACTCGCTAAAAATAAAAATGTCCTCAGAACACAGGCGTAAAAACCTATGCACATGTTTATAGTATTAAATTAATATTTCTGTACTACAGAATACACAGGTGATTAGAAAATTTTTTCAATGCCAGTTTAAAACATTTTACCCAAAATTTACCATTTAACAACTTATTTTCGCTAAAGAGTTTGCGATTATCCAATTAGTTATACTTGGAGCAAATACTTGGAGATTATTGATCTAATTAAAAATTCTGGGCCGGCCCGGTGGCGCACTGGATAGTGCGCTGCTTGGGAAGCGCGGCGGCGCTCCCGCCGAGGGTTCAGATCCCACATACAGACCGGTTTCCGCTCACTGGCTGAGGCGCGGGGGCAACGCCAAGGGTTGCGATCCCGTTGCCGGTCCCGGTCCGGTACGGGGGCGACACTGAGGGTTGCGATCCGTTGCCAGACACGGAAAAAAGACAAAAAAAAAAAAAAAAAAAAAATTCTGAGGGATGATTCTAGTTACTTATTGAATATAAACAGTGCCCAGGGTTCTGCATAGCAGTTGCCTTGTCAATATCAAAATTAAAGTGACCGATGTCAGTCTAAATATTTGAGATGCTTCCTTAATTTCTTTTTGCTCACAAATGCCTTTCCTACTGAAATTCTAAGCATAGTTTTCCTATGGCAGATTGAAACCACACCCAATCTGTCCTCTTCCTCAAGATGAGTAGGAGATGGGACTGGAATGGAGTTGAGGAGTGTATAAAGCAGGCCCTACTTTTTCCCAGCTAATTCCAACTTCCTTATTTAGCTGACTCCTCCAAGAATCTGGCATTTAATGGTCAAGCAGCCTTAATTTTAGGAGGTTTTGTGGGATCTTATTTTTTGTGTTTTCATGTGAAATCTTGCTATGTAAAGTTGATTGATGCAATCAACTTCAGTGCATAACTAACTGGTATCAAAACACAATGCGAGCTAGAGTTCATTTTTGGATCAGTTTAACAAAATGGCAGGTGCTAAAATGTTCAAATATTTAGGACTTCATAATGGAGTTCAGGGAACTCTGGTGGATATGAATTGCTATGAAATGGCAGGCTACCAGAACATGAATCCAATAAAAAAGGGTCCAGAGCTAATATATGTTTATATAGTGGTGAAGAGCAGGCACTCTAGTTCCAATCTTTGTTGTATTACTTGTATGATCCTGAAGAAATAACTAAGCATATCTATGCCTTAACTTTCTTATACATAAACATTTATCACCTACATCATTTAAGGAATTATACTAAACACATTGGTGATTCGAAGACAATCACAAATCTCAATTTCAAGAAAGTTTAAAACCTAGTTCTGAATGAAAGTAGTACATAAATAATTATAATACAAAGGGGAAAAATTGCAAGAGTGTGGACCCTGGAGCAAGACTTCCTGGATTGGAATTCTAGCTCCACCAGTTTCTCTGAGAACTAGAGCAAGTTGTTTCACTCTTTGAACCTCCATTTCCTCATATCTAAAATGATGATAGTAGTAGTTACACCTCAAAGTGCTATATGAGAATTAAATAAGTTTATTATAAAGAGTTCACCAAATATCACCATGAGATACCACTTCACACCCATTAGGCTGTCTATTATAAAACACACACTAAGCAAAACTGAAAATAAGTGTTGGCAACAAAGTGAGGAAATCAGATCCCTTGTGCATTGCTGGTGGGAATATAAAATGTATAGCCACTGTGCAAAACAATATGGTGGTTTCTCAAAAAATTATATGGTTATCTATGATCCAACAATTCCACTTCTAAGTTTATACCCAAAAGAATTGAAAGCAAGGACCTGAACAGATATTTTTATACCCATGTTCATAGCAGCATTATTCACAATACCCAAAAGGTGAAAACAGCCCAAATGTACATCAACAGATTAATGGATAAATAAAATGTCGTAAATACATACAAGGGAATATTATTCAGCCTTAAAAAGAAAGAAGTACTGATACATGACACAACATAGATAAACCTTGAAAATATTATGCTAAATAAAATAAAACACAGAAGGACAATTTTTCTATAATTTTACCTGAATGAGAGATACCTCTAATAGTCAAATTCATAGAGACAGAAAGAATATTGGTTACCAGGGCATATGGGGAAAGGGGAATAGGAAATTATTGTTTGTATCCATTAAGAGTTTCAATGTGGGATGATGAAAGCAGCAATTTCATATGGTTCAACATCACAGTAACTCCCAAATCCCTGGTTTTAAGATTTTTTTCTTTTTTTTTTTTTTCCTTTTTGTCTTTTTTCGTGACCGGTCACGGGATGGCAACCCTCAGTGTCGCGCCCGTACCGTGACTGGCAACGGGATCGCAACCCTCGGTGTTGCGCCCGCACCGCGCTCAACCAGTGAGCGGACCGGTCTCTATATGGGATCCGAACCCTCGGCAGGAGTGCCGCTGCGCTCCCAAGCGCCGCACTCTGCCGAGTGCGCCACCAGGCCGGCCCCCTGGTTTTAAGATTTTTAAATCGGAATTTTACATATTCAGAAATTAAGTATAATGGCAGTAATAGCACTACATATTGGCAAGTGACCTGTTGTTATAGCACTACATATTGGCAAGTGACCTGTTGATTTCCAACTTAAATTTCTGAGAGCCATTTTCTATACCAGAAGCTGATCTGATCCAAATCCAATCAACCTTTTTGTTATGGTCAGTTAATTATTCAAATAATAAAGTTTCATTTCTATTTGGAAATGAAATCTTTAATTTGGGTTTCCAATATTCAAAATATTACTATTTAGATGTGAGACTCTTTTTTTTTTTTTCCTTTTTGTCTTTTTTCGTGACCGGCAACAGATCGCAACCCTCAGTGTCGCGCCCGTACCGGACCGGGACCGGCAACGGGATCGCAACCCTCGGTGTTGCGCCTGCACCTCGCTCAGCCAGTGAGCGGCCGGTCTGTGCGTGGGATCCGAACCCTCGGCGGGAGCACCGCCACGCTCCCAAGCGGCGCACTGTAGCAGTGCGCCACTGGGCCGGCCCTGGATGTGAGACTCTTAAGACTTAATGCCAAAGTCTCACCTGAATGATTTAGCATACAATAGAATATACTATTCAGCAAGAAAAGAGAATGGACTACTGATACACAACAACATGGATCAATCTCAAAAACCTGCTGAGTGGAAGACGGCAGAGTACATATTGTAGTATTCCAATTACATGAACTCTAGAAAAGATAAACCTAGTCAAAAAGAAGATCTGTGATTGCCTGGGGTTAGAGGTAGAAGAATTGATTGGGAAAAGGTAAAAGGGAGGGACAATGGAAATATTCTATATCTTGATTGTGATGGTGGTTACACAGGTACAAATCTGTCAAAGCTCAATGAAATATACACTTAAAATGCATGCATTTTAATATAAGTAAATAGTACATCAATAAGGTTGACTTATAAAACACAAAACAACAGTATATTTTTAATAAACAATTGAAACATGAATACCTTATTTTAAAAAAAATTTTTGTATTATGGTAAAGCTAAAATGTCTCTTGATCACCCTCCAAATCCTGGTCTCCACCCTTAATCTCTTCCATCTATTCTCCTTCCCCCAAACAGTCACTGTTAATTTTTGTATTATGGTAAAGCTAAAATGTCTCTTGATCACCCTCCCAATCCTGGTCTCCACCCTTAATCTCTTCCATCTATTCTCCTTCCCCCAAACAGTCACTGTTAGGAGTCCAGTATGGATTCTTCTGGACCTTTAAAATACATATAGCCATAGAAAATATACAGTATTGTTATGCACATTTATAAAATTTATATATGTCTTTCTACAACTGGCTATTTTCACTTAGCATTATGCTTCTGAGAACTATCTGCGATAATACAGATCTAGTTTATTTCTTTTAATTCCAATACAATAATCTATCCCATGACTAGACATATTTTATTTAGCAGGCCATTCCCCTTCATATGATATTTAGATTGTTTTTCCCTATTACAATTCTCCAGTGTAGTGGTAAAGAGCAGTTACCACTGGGGTCGGCATATAGACTGCAGATGGTGTTCCAAAGGGACTTTAATCTTATCCGTAAGGTTTAATTTTTTATAAAGAGAATGTATTCATGTATAATTTATATACCTTAAGTATTTAATTTTTTTAATTAAAGAATTTTATGATGTGTAAGTTACCAAAAAGAATGAAATAAAATCAGTAAGAGGAAGCAAACATCTATTAAAACATACGGAAAGCAAAATTGTAGGGCATAATAGTATACTCAATTTGAAGCACAAGTATTTATTGAAAACTAATGAGCACTAAACAACAGGTCTTATAAACATTCCTCTGCAAAGCAATTACAATTAAAATATCAGCATACTGGTTATCATGGCATAAGCATATTAACACATGACAAATACTTCATTTATGCTTTTTGCTTTCTTCTTTTATGACTATGATGCCTTTCCCCATCCCTGAAATGAAAGGGGTGTAGAAAAAAACTATTATAAATGACGGCCATTTTAATATCAGAGCTTTAAAAAAATAATTCAATAGTAACATACTTTCATCAGACATAAACCAAGACAAATTAAAATGTGCATTTAGAACTGAACAGTGATTTATTGAGTAAATATGGAAAGTGAATTATTAAAAATTAAGAGACAAAAAAGAATTAGGGATAAGAAAAATGGATTTTTTAAACATTGGGCTTTGGAGTTCTGCTTTAAAATTAATTTTGAATATATGTAAATGATAGCTGATCAGAGAATTCACTTCAAATAGAATATTAAAGTCATAGAAAGTATTCAGAAATTGTCTGCTTTCTTCATTCTGGTTATTATCTCAACTCCACCTCAGGGGTGGTTGTCAAAGATTAGCCTTGCCATATTGACAAGTTTTCCTGCTAATATCCAATTTATCCTCTCTAAAGGAAAATGATTTCATTTTTAGATTTTGAGGATTTCTAATGTATTTAAGTCAATAGGGATTGATTAGAGATGTCAAAAATTACTCAAGTGGGAAAAGCACTAACAAACTTGAAGGAAATGAAAAAGCACAATTTCTGATAAATAATCAAGAGTTAATTTGTATAATTATAAAATATCATGAATCAAAAGGGATTACTAAGCAAATATCTCATTTTTATAAGAGAAAAACTAAATCATAGCTAATTTTCAACCTTTGAACTGAATGATAGTAAGATGAACAAAATTACCAAACCAATTAGCTTTACTAATTCCTGATTACCAGTGGCCCTGGAGAGACAGGATATCATTTGAGAGCCTATTATTTGACAAGCACAGTGCAAATAAAACTAAATAAGACATGGGCCCTGCCTTCAAGGAGCTCACAATCTAGTAGGGAGAGTAATAACTATTAAATTCAATAACAAGTATATGCTAGATAGGGTGGTGACAAATGGAAAAGATGATCAGCCGTGCTTGAATGAGTGAGAAAAGGCTTCAGGAAATGACTGAGCTGGATCTTAAAGGATGAGGGAGAGTTTACCAAGCAGGCTTTAAAAAAACTAGGCAGCAGAACACAATGTGGAAAGGCATAGATGTGGCACAGTGTGGATGAGAAATTGTTAAGTAATTCAGGCTAGCTAGAGCACAAGTTATCCATTTCATGGGGTAGTGGCAAAATACAAGAAGAGGTAGGCAGGAGCCCTGATCTTGGAAGTCTTGAGAGCCATTCTGCCTAAAGAATGTGTGGATTTTGCCACTGAAGAGTTTTAAGTGGTGAATATTCACTCTGGCAGAAGAGTAGGGATGGATTCATATGGGATAAGCTTAGAGACAAGTAAAACAATCAAAAGAACTACCACCCTTTTCCACACGAACAGCAACAGGGACAGAGAGGAGGAGGTGCATGTCAGGTATCTTCAGGGAGAAATGACAGCAATTGGGAACTGACCAGATGGTAAGCAATAAGAAAGGAGTATCTAAAATGATGACTTGATTTCTGGCTTTGGTGATTAGATAAGGCTCATCCCACTAACCAGCATAGGAATGTTGGGGAAAGAGGAGCAGACTGAGAAAAAGGGAAGTTTAGTTACAGACCTGATGAACTTGAGATCCACATAGATGCCCAGTAAGCAGCTAGAACATATGACTAGACCTCAATTGATTTAAATTTATTATTTTAGTATTACTACATCTACCTCTAGCTATGAAAATTTTACTAACAAGGGCAAAATCAAGTGACATTAAAGTTTGGATCTTCTTGCTGACCTTATATTCCCTTTAAATGAGGAATTAGCAAGAAAGAAAAAAAGAGAAAGAATGAGGGAGGAAGGAACAGAAGAAATAGATCATGGCAAACACTTTTTAACACAGTTAACTCCCTACCTAGACATTACTTTCATATGTCCTGGTTAGGAAGCAAGTAAGTGATAAAAAAGGGAAACCAATACTGTAAGAAAATAATCTAAATAATTCATTTGCAGGTGTTTTAGCTGATTCAAAGAGGTATTTAACAGGCCCAACCCGAAAGTTGTTTGACTGGTCCAGCCCCTTCCCAGAGGGTCACTGAACAGATAGAGCTTTCCTTGAGACGGTAATTAGTTACTAGCTCCTTTTGGTTTCTTCATTCCCTGGTGTTTCTCCCTCCTCAGGACTTCTGGCAGGCCTTTTTCATGGGCTTGTCCTGAGCCCTCAGAAAAAGAAATTCCTTACAATGGGGTAATAAATCTTAGGTGTCATTCAGGATAATTATGCACCCCGTAGTACTCAGCCAATGAGGAACTGGGGGGGAGGGACTTGCGCAGTAGGGAAAAAATTGCTCGCTACAGCCCTTTTTTGTGTGCCTGGTTCATCAGACATCCAATCTTACAATATCACCATTAAAGTCTGACTTCACTGTACCTCGTGTCTCTGTGTCCATCCTTTGGCATTGGACAGGTGAGGGCATTTCTCGCAAATATCCAATCATGCATGTAGAGAACTGTCACTAGAGCTCTGGTTATTTGAATTCAGATAATGAATGCTAAGAATCTTCATCAATTATTTACTCTCCTTACCTTAACTTACAATCTATTTTCTCGGCATGGTCTACAAGAAAAGGTCCTGTTCTGCTTTTTAAAGGTAAACAATTCAATGCTGAATGATGCAGGGTTAGACTCACCTCTCTTTCCTTCTTCTTGACTCATTGTTTTTATCCTTATCCTTATTTCTTTTTCGTTTATGTGGGCTCCTACTCCGGTCTCTTCTATGTCGTGAACACTCGGCATCCAAATAGCTTCCACCAGACTGTCGTGAATCTACTGAAGCTGATCGCCTTTCTTCGTTCCTGAAAAACAGAAAGAAAAGTTAATCAGTTCATTTTCCCATTGGTCTCCATTATACACACAGACATACCACCCTAAAGTGTAATATTCTATATCATACCAATCACAGGGTCTAAATACATATGCACAATCTTACATTCCATATAAGAGAGCAGTCAAAGAAACATAGCTCTTAAATGTTTTACAACTTAACTATTTCATTAATATGGTTCCCACCACACAACTTTATTTATTTTTTGTTGGCTGGCTGGCATGCAGATCTAAACTCTTAACCTTGGCGTTACAGGGCTGTGCTCTAACCAACTAAGGAACCACTGAGCCAATATGGTCCCCACCAAAAGAGTCAACGGGAGATGTCACAGAACAACTCAGGTATAATAATACTGAGCACTGATAACAAACAATTAGCATCTTGATGAATTATAGCATGTTACCAAGGGTCTTTGAAATGTTAAAATTTAACAATTACAGGTAACATTAAAAAGAGAACATTTTCACCAATAAAGACAAATGACATACTTTTCGGCATCATCGTCTGCTTTTTCCTGCTCTTCTTGCCATTGATTACTGAGTTCTTCCATGTGCACATTTATCACATCTCGAATCACCTTAGGAGAGTTAAGGACCAAATTTCAGATAAGAAAACTATTCAAAAAATTAAGATAATAAAGCTAGAAAAATCACTGCTAACAACCAATCAAATATTCATTAGAAGCTATGACAGACTGTGGAATGTGTGCAGAATATAAGAAAAGGTAATGAACTGGAATATGGATGATAAAAGAAAGTATTATAGCAACATAAAATTTTAACTATGATTATGTAAGAGAGTATCTCTATTCATAGGAAATACATACTAAGTATTTAGGGATAAAGGGCCATGATATATGTAACTTACTCTTAAATATTTCAGGTAAAAATTATGTACAGATAGAGATAGAGTGAAAATATAAAGAAAAAGAAAAAGAGTGCAAATGACAACCACATGGGCAAAATGTTAATAATGGGAGATTTGGTGAAAGGATACACAGGAGTTCTGAGTATTATTTTCAGTTTTGCAACTTATCTATATGTTAGAGAATATTTACAAATAATTTTTTTAAACCTTATAATTTAGATGACGAACAAAATATGAAACATGAAAGTGACTTCACAGATAGTTTCACAATGAAACTTGAAATCCCTTACTTGTAAGAATCATTGGAAAGTTTTTTTCTTTCCTACTTACCCATGCCATCAAGCCTAAGGCTAGTCACTGGAGAGGCACAGATGAAACTAAAATAGGAGCTTACACTACTCTCATGCCTGATTAGGAAATGTTTTAAGTAAAAAGGTATAGGGGACAAGGAGCAATCTCAGAAAGACACACTATAGTTCAGGCCTGACTGCATTTCTCTCCATCTCAAAGAAATTTCCAGTGGCTGCCAAAGTAAAACAGAACAATGTCCAAACTCCTTAATCAAGCCTTCAAAGCCATCCATGATTTTATTATATCACATAGCAGAAGGCAGCCTTCCCTTATTTTTCAACGGATATTCCCCAGACACCCTAAACTCTAACCACCCTGGATTACTCATGGGTCTCTAAAAAACTTCAGTACATGGGCCGGCCCGGTGGCGCACTGGATAGTGCGCTGCTTGGGAAGCGCGGCGGCGCTTGGTGGGGGTAGATGGGGAGAGACTGGTCAAGTTAGATAGGAGGAAAAAGTTCCGGCGTTCTACTGCACAATCAGTAGGGTGACTATAGTTAACAATAATGTATATTTCAAAATAGCTAGAAGAAAGAATTTTTTTTTTTTTTTCCTTTGACAGCTGGCTAGTTCTTGGATCCAAACCCTTGACCCTGGTGTTATAACACCACACTCTACGCGGGAGCAACACCGAGGGTTGCGATCCCGTTGCCGGTCCCCGGTCCGGTACGGGGGCAACACTGAGGGTTGCGATCCGTTGCCGGACACGGAAAAAGACAAAAGACAAAAAAAAAATTAAAAAATAAAAAAATAAAAAACTTCAGTACAGGACCTTATGTTAAGTAAAATAAGCCAGACACAGAAAGACATGTACCACATGATCTCACTCATATGTAGAATCTAAAAAAGTTGATCTCATAGAAGTAGAGAGTAGAACGGTGGTTAATAGAGGCTGGGGGTGTTGGTGGGGGTAGATGGGGAGAGACTGGTCAAGTTAGATAGGAGGAAAAAGTTCCGGCGTTCTACTGCACAATCAGTAGGGTGACTATAGTTAACAATAATGTATATTTCAAAATAGCTAGAAGAAAGAATTTTTTTTTTTTTTTCCTTTGACAGCTGGCTAGTTCTTGGATCCAAACCCTTGACCCTGGTGTTATAACACCACACTCTACGCGGGAGCAACACCGAGGGTTGCGATCCCGTTGCCGGTCCCCGGTCCGGTACGGGGGCAACACTGAGGGTTGCGTAATAACTTCGTATAGCATACATTATACGAAGTTATACGAAAGCTCTTTCAAACACCACACTCTACGCGGGAGCAACACCGAGGGTTGCGATCCCGTTGCCGGTCCCCGGTCCGGTACGGGGGCAACACTGAGGGTTGCGATCCGTTGCCGGACACGGAAAAAGACAAAAAGACAAAAAAATAAAAAATTAAAAAAATAACACCACACTCTAACCACAGAAGAGAGAATTTTGAATGTTCTCACTGCAAAGAAATGATAAACTCTTGAGGTGATGGATTTGTTACTTACCAATTTGATTCTTACACAATGTATACACGTATAGAAACATCACATTTTAGCCCCTAACAATGTACAACTATTATGTATCAATTAAAAATAAAATAAAACTAAAAAAATAAAATAACTCCTGTACTTTTATGGGCTTTTAGGAATGCTCGTCCTTCCACCTGGAAAATCTTTATCTACTACTTACCCTCCCCCACTATATTTTAATGTAGAAAACCTAAGACTGTGGGTCTAACCCAGTAGAGTGATGAGTCACACACATCTGCACTGAAATTCCAGCTCTAGCACTTCCTTAGCAGCCCTACTAGACTCTTTGTCTAGCAGCTCTACATGAACTCCTTGAAGCCCAGTCTCCACAGAACCTACCAGGCACAGGTTTGCCACACAGGAGTCAATAAGTAGACATTCCTTTAACATACCCTGCTTCTCCCTTTTCCTCCAATGCTACCTTCTCTACAAAGCCCACACTAATCTTATTTTTAAATGCCTCCTGGCACACACTTTGATTTCACCTTTCTTTTAGCACTTCACACAATTTGTATTTTGAAATGTCTGTTTCACTTGTTAAACTACTATAGAAGATCTTTGAGAGTGGGGTCTTTGCATACCCTACAGCAGTATGTTATGCACAGTAACTACAGTATGTAGTAATTTTTTGCAGAAATTTGTGAAAATTCAGGTTCTAGACCAGAGCAAACAAAAAATATGTAGGAAATGAATAAGCTAGGAATGGATGTAATGTTGAAAAAGCCACAGCCAGATATGATAAATCATTAAAAGATTTGTAAACACTGAAATACTTACAGATGAAAGATGTTTATGATCTGCTCTCAAAATTACCAAGTATGGGAGTGGGGTTATAAATAAAACAAGAGGGCCACAGGTTGATAAATGTTGAAGCTGGTGATGGGTACATAAAGTTTCCTTAGACGATGCCATCCACTTTAGCATATGTTTGAATATTTCCATAATAAAAGGTTAACCATAAAATTGTAAAGAACATTAGCAGCAACACTTAAAGTTGATTACAAGATTATGAGACAACAGAAGAAACAACTGATGAACTACCAATACCCAAAAGACTGTAAGAATCACCAAGGTAGTATGACATGGTCCTAGCACTCTACTGAGAGAGATAAGTCTAAAACACACACTGCTGTGGTTTCAATGTTTGTCCCTCTAAAACTCTTGTTGAAACTTAATGCCTAATATGGCAGTATTGAGAGGTGGGGCCTTTAAGAGGTGATTGGGTCATGATGGCTCTGCCTTCATGAATGGATTAATCCATTCATGGATTAATGGATTAATGGGTAAATGGATCAACAGGTTATCATGGGAGTGGCACTGGTGGCTTTATAAGAGGAAGAGACCTGAGTTAGCATGCTTAGCCCTCTGCTCACCATGTGATACCCTGCACTGCCTTGGGACTCTGCAGAGTCCCCACCAACAAGAAGGCCCTCACCAGATGTGGCCCTTCCCCATTCCCCTAACCTTGAATTTCCCAGCCTCTAGAACTGTAAGAAATAAACTGTTCCTTTATAAATTACCCAATTTCAGTGATTCTATTATAAGCAATGGAAAATGGACTAAGATACATATTTTAATTGTAAAAAGAACAGCATAAAATTAAACGCTAACTGTGCGGTACAGAGAATTAGTGCAATGAACCAGTGATGGCTCAGAGTCAACCAGCACCTCATGGAAATGGTGGACCTTAAACTCATCAATATTTAAAATGGCAAAAACAAAGAGCATGTCAGGTGAGAAAACAACATGTACTAGGGCATAAGGTAAGAATAAATACATGTAACCAGATATAGTTTAAGAGGCATGCTTGACTAAAGCAAAACAATTGGTAAAATGAGGCCAGATTATGGAATGCCTTTGAAATCAGAGAGAAATAAGAAATAATGTAGGAACAATAAGGGATTCAAAGAGGAAATTAAGTATAGAGCCTGGGCAAGGTCATTCATGTACCAAAAAATTCATCAACTCTATCTGCTCAATGGCATCTGAAAATAAGTCTAGCTATACACCAAAAGATTCATGTGTAAATAATTTATACCAGGATATTTCTTAAGCCAAATATTTAGGAGAGTACATAAAGCATGCTAAGATTTCTGCAAAAAGATAACAGCTAATATTTACTGAGAAATGTGTGTTCACATGCATTATCTCAATCAGTTCTCATAACAACCTATAGAATTTGCATTATTATTATAAAATGAAGAAAAATGAATTCTAAAAAACTCAAATAATGTGCCCAAGTCAAATAGCCAATGACAAACAGGAGAATCAAATCTCAAGACGAGATTTAAGGCCAAAACTCCTGCTCTTATCATGATGCGATACTACTTCCTCAGAAGCAGATATTTTTTAAGACTGTACAACCTCTTTATATAACGCTTTGTACTCTGAAAAGCCTTTTCCTGGTAAAGGGTGGGTCTGAAAGTGATGGAGCAAATACAAATCAGGTGTGACCACCATGAAGCCTCTTTCAGAAAACCTCCAAGGGGGCCGGCCCGGTGGCGCACTGCTATAGTGCGCCGCTTGGGAAGCGTGGCGGCGCTCCCACCGAGGGTTCGGATCCCCCATACAGACTGGTTCCCGCTTACTGGCTAAGCGAGGCGCGGGAGCAACACCGAGGGTTGCGATCCCGTTGCTGGTCCCGGTCTGGTACGGGGGCGACATTGAGGGTTGCGATCCGTTGCCGGACACGGAAAAAGACAAAAAAGAAAAAAAAAAAAAGAAAACCTCCAAGGAACTGTGGAAATCCATAGAACAGATTTAGAACTATATAAGGGAAAAGATTTTTGCTCATAGCAAAGCTCCACAAGATTATGTAAAACTCACCTCAGTATATGATTTCTTGGTTATGTGAACATTCTTAGCTCTATAGGACTGGCGTCTTCTTTTATAATCTCTCACTTCCGCCAAGATTTCAAGGTAAGATTTTGGACTTTTTCGACTATTATCTAATAAAAGAATAAAAGAAAATTATTATATCCTTAGGAACTTTAAAATTCTTATGAATTAGCAGGTAGGAATAATACAATTATCCTATACTTCAACATGTTTCAAGGTAGCACACAAAAACATTCTAAAAATTCTACATTATAAATATACAAGGGTTAAGTTTTATTTTCCTCTTCTCCAGCCATTAGTTGAATGTAAGTGTTTCAGTAACTGCACAGTTCTAAGTAACAATCTTACAGAAAAAAGGTATGCTTAATGTAAAAGCCAGAATAAAGCTTCATGCACTGAGTAAATATCTTAATATATATGATAATATCAGATGATACAAAACCATCCTACTCCAACTCATTTTGGCCTGACAGTTGAATCATATTAATAACACTCACAAGATGGAATGACAATTAAAAAATGTAAACTATGATATTCATCTCAAACCTTGATTGACTTTGGCAGCCAAGTCTACAAAGAGATCACTGTCATTTTCAATGATTTGAGAATCAGAGCGCTTTTTCTTTGTCTCTTCAAGTACAAAATCATAGAGGGCAAGACGATCAGCTTGGGTTAGATCACAAACAAACCGTTTGTGATTTAGAGGAACTTCAACAGGCAGTGAAGAATAAATCCCTAAAGTAAAAATAAAACCACAAGAATAAACAATACATGAAGCATTGTGGACTTAAAATCTACTACTTATCTTTAAACATTTGCTGAAATAATACAATATTAACAGAAACTATTTTTTTACAGTAATCCCTAAATATACAAAATACCAATCCACGCAATAAATGGTAAACAATGACTCTGTCCTGAATACTATATCCACAGAAAGGATGTATTGTGGATGTTCACTATTCTCTCCGAGAACGTTAAGATAGATCCCATGAAGGCAGGTAGTAATAACCATACCAGACAATTTGCTCATAAGAAAACCTTTTGGGTAACAATTTTTAAAAGGCTTCTCACATTACAAAAATAGTTGTCTGTCTTTCTGTTTATATTCTTTTCCCCATATGAGCTAAAAGAGTGCTTTTAATAGGTAATACACATTATATACCTTTTGAAAAAGCTATGGAAATATAAAAAATGTGTAAAAAATGTCTTTTTTTGTATGAAACGTCAGACTAGATGATCAATATTTAAAATACATCCCACTTGTGCGAGACTTAAAACTAGGGGCCAAAAAACAATAAGCAGAAATCTCAAACTTCTGCCAGACCAGAGACAGACAGATTAAATTGAAACTAAACTCATTTTAATTTCCTGAGAAGAAAACATATTTGCTTAACCAAACTCACTGAAAAAAGTTAACAGCAGTATCCCCCGATACTTAATAGAACTTTCTAAAATCTGGTCATTAATGAAAAAAAGTAAATACAATACCTTGATACGATGTATTAAACACTGAAGAAAATTTGTTTTGAAATTCAAATTTTCTCAAAGAAATTTAAAAAATGACTGTAACTGTAAATAAAACAATTTATAACAATTTTTTCTAGACTTCATTATTTCCTAACGTAAACAAAGAACATGAGCTACTAAAAGAATCCTTTAGTGTTTGCTAGCTTATCCTACAGTAATAACAACTCTGGTTCATAGAACAACGTAAAATCAGTAGCTCTTCCCAGATACTTATATTTGATAAAGTCTAACCTCATTAACTATTAGTAAAGAGGCAAAAGAAGAATTCAAATAAGAGCATACTATGAACTAAGCATTACAACAAAAAAAGAGATGACTATAAGTGTCTACGAATTGAGAGCTACACTGAATCTGATGCTGTAAGTTAACAGCTACAGATACATGGCCGTTTTTACTAGTCAAATGGTTTTAAATTAGTGGGGAAGTCATCCCTTTCAAGTCAAGCAATTTTACTCTAACTGGGATGGTTACTAGGCAAAGCCCTTTTATGTAGCCAGGTGTTAAAGATATTTAAGTTTATAACATGAGATTATAAAAAGTTAGCCTTGATAAGCCTAATTTCTTTGAATATAAAGTATAAAAATCTGGTAGAAAAATACGATTAGAAAACAATGATGCATTACAACCAAGCTTCACATAAATTTTTGTCTGTTGCTTTTAAACAAAGAAACATAATTTCCTCCTTAAAATATTTTGAAGTTTTCTTTGAATTATTCATCTTAAATTTCTTTATGGTAAAGATCAATACTTAAATTCAACCAAAATTCCAAATCAATACTATGATATTTTGACAGCCATTAAGATAAAGTTTAGAAATTTGAGTGATACTTTTAAAAGGATATCATTTGCAAAAGGATACTGCATATCTTTAAATAAGGAGTACATTCAGGTTCCTAATTCCTCTTTATACTCACCCCAATTACTGAAAAAGAAAAAGTACAGGAAAAGTTAAGCAACAAACTGCATTCAAATCATTCAGAACATAAATATTTTTGATTTTAAAAAAAAGGATAATCACTTAAATAAGTTTACATTTACAGAAAATGTAAATTTTCAAAATACAAGTCTATAATTTCAAGGTATATCTGAATGTGCTGTAATCATAATAATTCTGTGACCCTTTATCTGCCTCTTTTTGCAGTATTTTTTAAATTGTGGTAAAATACATATAACATAAAATTTACCATTTTAACCATTTTTCACTTTACATCAGAGGTATTAAGAACATTCAAACTGTTGTGCAACCATCACCTCTATCCATCTCTGGAATTTTTTCATCACTCCAAATTGAAACTCTAATCTACTTTTTTAAAAACCCTAATTCTCATGCTTCCTTGTTAGTCATTTTTACCACCACAGGGCATTTTATTTTATTTATTTTATTTTTTTTTTTCCTTTTTGTCATTTTTTCGTGACTGGCAACGGATCGCAACCCTCAGTGTCGCGCCCCTACCGGACCGGACTGGGACCAGCAACGGGATCGCAACCCTCGGTGTTGCACCCGCACCTCGCTCAGCCAGTGAGCGGCCGGTCTGTATGTGGGATCCGAACCCTCGGTGGGAGCGCCGCCGCGCTCCCAAGCGGCGCACAGTACCAGTGCGCCACCGGGCCGGCCCCACCACAGGGCATTTTAAACATATGACATACAACATTAAATACTAATAAAAGGTACTGTCTCAAAGATACAATTTAGAATTTTAGGGAGAATTCACAGAATCAATTCCCTAACATTAGAGATAAAAATTTAAGGTCCTTAGAAGAAATATGACTTGCCCAAAGTCTCTCAAGTAGTAGAAACCGATCAGCTTTAAAGCCATTCTACCCTGTCTCTCTAAGGTTCTTTTATAGTACACTGACCTTCAAATCATAGCCATGACTCTAATACACTTCATGAAACTGAAATACAGCAACTTGAATATTTAATATTGAAGGAAAAATATGTATCACTAAATAAAATGATTGTTTATGACTGAAATTAATATCCTGGTATAAAATTAACCAAACTAACTATATCTGAAAATAAGTATGTAGACTTAAATGGTTGTTCAAGCTTTCACAAAGGTTAATAGACTAAGAATTCTACATTGAGTTTAGGCCTGACATGACTAATGAAATGAAAACATATCTACAACCTCATCAAAAAACTTATGTTTTAGTGCATAACAAACAAAATATTAATTAAATGGGAAAATGTAAAATATTTCATGTTAGTCATTCTTTCTTCAAAGTAAGAAGATAAAGAAATTCTTATCCAGGGGTAAAAAGTTTAAAAATTCCTAAGACATAAGTGGGTCAGAAAAATAACCTCTACTGAGAAACTGCAGAACTCTACACAGGATTTTTAAAAAGTTTTAAAAAGAGGGTTTACATGGGCCGGCCCGGTGGCGCACTGCTATAGTGCGCCGCTTGAGAGCGTGGTGGCGCTCCTGCCGAGGGTTCGGATCCCACATACAGACCAGTTCCCGCTCACTGGCTGAGCGAGGCGTGGGAGCAACACCGAGGGTTGCAATCCCGTTGCCGGTCCCGGTCCGGTACGGGCGCGACACTGAGGGTTGCGATCCGTTGCCGGACACGAAAAAAGACAAAAAGGGAAAAAAAAAAAAAAGAAAAAAACAAAGTAACACTTTGCTTTTGCAAAGAATACACTCAGTGTTCAAATCTGCCCTATTACCCAGTTATATAATAAAAAACTTAGTAACCAAATGGTAAACAATTTTTAAATAACATATAAAAAACTCTCACCCGTTTCATTATCTTCACATTGCTTTCTGCACATGAATTTTCACTTAGACAACAGTAGCTACCAATTATTGGAGCTAGGGCTATTTTAGCATTCATTATCTCTGTTCCTCTAAACTCTATGAGATAGTTTTATATTACAGGTAAGGAAACGAAAACTCAGAGAAGGTGTCATTTATGCAAGGCCAAACAGCTAATGTTTTTCTCTAAAATAGGCTTACACAAAGTAGAATAAACAATGAACAGCACTGACAGTAGCAGTGAGTACGTACAGATTTTAAGGCTGTGATATTCTTCCACTTAATCATGATAAACATAATAATAAATATATTTGAGCAACATCTAGAATCCTAGACTATAAATTTCACGATATGTAGAGTTTCTAACAGAAAATAAAACTCAGTTCAGTTTGTGCCAAAATGCAGAACTTGGTTTTGGATCCAGCTTTGCTATTATCTAGCAGAGGCGAGTTACTTCACTTTTGTGCACCTCTGTTGCTTCACCTAATATGGAGGGGAAAAGGCTTGTCCAACCTATCATAAGTTTGTTGTGGAAGAGAAATAAAATACATAAAAGAGCTTTGAAAAAAGAACCTTCTAAAATATAAAAATACCTTTAGACAAACACACCAAAATATTATCATATCTTTATCAGGCAGAGCATTTTTTTTCCTTTTCTGTAAAATGCAGACATTAGATTAGATGATCTCCAAGTTCTCTTAAAATAAATTCAGTAAATCTTATCTAAACAGTTAAGAGTCAATAAAGTACTATAAGTATTAACCCCTCCAAAAACCAAAAACCTCTATTTTTTTATTGGCCCATTAACGAAACAGGAAAAGATGAGAGTTAAATGTCTCTCTCAAAGAAAAAAATTCGGGGGCCTAGCCCATGGTGCACTCAGGAGAGTGCGGTGCTGGGAGCGCAGCAGCACTCCCGCCCCCGGGTTCAGATCCTATATAGGGATGACCGGTGAGCTCACAGCGCTCACTGGCTGAGCGCGGTGTGGCTGGTCGCAAAAAGGACAAAAAAAAAAAAGAAAAAGAAAAAAATTTGGAATTTAGCTGACAGGCACAAAAGTGGTAGCTTCATAACAGGAAATACAGGAAATGTGCCCCTGGCTGTTGTTAGGAACCAGTGTAATAGAGACAGGCTAAGGTAAGATGGTCTTCCTTCTGAAGCCACCATGCAACATAGTCCAGTTATTGGCTTAGAAAAATGTTTAATAAAGACCTTGAACTTCAACAAGGGAGAAAACCAACCATGACTATGCTCTGGTGAATGTAATTCGGCTAGGAAAAAAAAGTGAGGAAAAAAAGGTAAGATGTCCAGAGAAAGCTACCTTTCAAAGAAAGATTCAAAGAAGACAACTCAGAAGTCGTTATGAGAGGAGCTGGTCATGCTTTGGCTAGATGTCATACCTAGGTTCTGAAATCTAAACTCTTATTAACTTGTTTACTTCCCTGTTTTTGGTGGATTAAATTTTCTTTCAATTTCCTAATACCTTATGCTTAAAAATACAATCTGTTGAAGTTCCAGGCAGAAACTCTTTAACTCAGCCCCAACGTTAAGCATGAAATGATCCACAAACCCACTGAAATTATATGTAAAACACTGTGCTTGTGCTTTTTTCTGAGGAGGCGATCCCTAGCATTCACCATCTCAAAGGGATCCAATATCCAAAAAGATTAAAACTAGTTTCTTTTAGCCTAAGCCTTTCCTTTTATATCGCATTTCAACATTCTCAAGAGAGAAAATCTCAGGGTAAGATAGTCATCCAAATAGCATTTACTTACTAAATAATAATTTTTAAAAAATTATCCACAAGGCAATCTCACCTATTACATAATTCAAAAGAATGAACCCTTAGCTAAGCTAGTATCCTAGTGAGATACTAGTGTATCTGAGCAGGAAACATCTTAACAAATGAAGTTTAAATGTAAAATGTTTAAATGTTTTAAATGTTAATTTAAAAGTTTAAAAATTTTAAAGTTTAAGTGTTAAATGTAAAACAACTTTTCCAAGTCACTGTTTTCAAAAGGTTTTTCTTGAACAAAATTAGTAACGTGCTTGTGGGAGAAAAATAATTTGATTCATTAATTAGCTCAAACTATGTTGCACTTACTTTGATTATAACAATCACCATCTTTTCCAACTGCAGTTCTAGCTTGCTTAATTATCTGGAATTGTGAGTCCTTATCTGAAAAAAAAAAAAATCCATAAATACAATATGAATCACCAGTGTCCACAATTAAAATGACTTGTTTCTAATCCAAGCTCTTTGGGCACACTGACAAACTTTCCAGAACCCTAAGACAGAAAACATCCTATTTGCTACCTGTGTAATCTGAATACAGAATTCTTTCAGATCTACCTGGAGCCCAGTAGGTAACCAGCCTCAGTTTCAAAAACACTATAATCAGGCATACAATGGTAGTAGCTACAAATTTTAGTGACCAATAATAGTTACCATTTCTTGAAGTTTAGCTAAGTGTCAGACACTATTCTAAGTATATTACATCTACTGTTTAATCCTTACAAAGTGCTATTATAATCATCCACATTTTATAAAGAAATTTAAGCAACAAACACGTTAATTACCTTGCTCAAAGTCACCCATCTGTTAGTGACAAAACCAAGAGTTGAATCCGGGCATTGTTTCCAGAGCCTAAGACTTTAACCTCTAGATATGCTGTGAATACCTGGAACACATTTCCATCCTCAGTCTTACCTTCAACCTCTCTTGTGTGTTCAGATTTTTGTTATAACCAAGAAGGAAGGCATCTATCCCACTTACAAAACTTTGCAGGATTTTCATTACCTATTACTATAAGCCTAAATTTCAGATTATGTCAACTATTTTCATTGTACATTAATCAATACTACATTCTCTTAAGGTACTAAATGCCCTTCTTAATCATAAGCATATTATAAAATCCATTCTTGGGGCCGGCCCGGTGGCGCACTGCTACAGTGCACCGCTTGGGAGTGTGGTGGTGCTCCCGCCGAGGGTTCGGATTCCAAATACAGACCGGTTCCCGCTCACTGGCTGAGCGAGGTGCGGGCGCAGCACCAAGGGTTGCGATTCCAAATACAGACCGGTTCCCGCTCACTGGCTGAGCGAGGTGCGGGCACAGCACCAAGGGTTGCGATCCCGTTGCCGGTCCCGGTCCAGTACGGGCGCGACACTGAGGGTTGCGATCCATTGCCGGACACGAAAAAAGACAAAAAGGGGAAAAAAAAAAAAATCCATTCTTTTCATAATTCAAAAACAAAAAATCAATACTTATATTAAGATATTTTTAATTTTTAATCTAATAACTTAATACTTACTCAAAGTAATTGAAGGTATTTTCACATTTTCATAGAAAAAATCAGGATTATACATTTCATCCTAAACAGTAAAAAAAAAAAAAATCTTAGTGTTTTTAAGTATCAGATAATTGACTATTTTAAGATTTGACATGAACTAATGATTTCATTAGTACCATTTAAATATTTCTCACAGTATTTATCTCAAAATATTTCACAAAAATTTGCGAAATTAGGCAAGTGCCATCCTACCCGACAAATAAGGACTATTAATTTCATGTCAGAAAACTTCATGATATACCTTCCAAATATTGTGTTTGTTAATGCATGAATTACACGACATATATATAATACAGTAAATATACGATACCTCTTCTTCTTTGGTATAGCCTAGTTTCCTCAATCTACAAGATACCATGTGCTTTGCTAAAGATGACTTAGGCATGTGATGATTGGAATCATAAGGACATATCACAACTTCATCCTATAAAAATCAAAAAGAAGCAAAGAAAAAAGGTATTTAAAGAAATAATTATACTGTTAAATGTTTACTACTTGATTAAGTACCAGTATTATCCAGTACCTCCTCTTCTGCAGGCCTCTTTCAACCCCCATGTGGGGGTGTGTATTAAAAAAAACAACTCCCAAACCCCCACACCCACTTAAAGCCTCTGCCCTCTCTCCAGACCTTCAAAACCTAACTTTGAAAAATTTGTTTACTCACTGTCTTAACCTCACCTACAGCCATTCCTCATCCACTGCCATCACTCCACTAAAACCAGCCAATAGGTTGCTAACAACCTTCTTACTACTAAAGCCAAAGAACATGTCATAGTCCTTACATTTGAACTCTTGGAAGGTCACACTGCAACTGTCCATTTCTGTCATCCTGATACACTATTCATGTTCTTTCTACTTCTCTGGCTTCTTCTCCTTGGTCTCCTCTAAAGATCTGTCTTCCTTGCTCTACTTGTCCCCCTTTAAATGTTAGTGTTTCATGTAGGTCTAACCAGTGACCTTTTGCCATGCTTACTGGAAGATCTCACGGTTTCAATTCACTGAGATGACTAGAGATGACTCCCCCAAATCTAGATCTTTAGACCTTGTTTCTCTCTTGAATACCTTCTACCAAAGACACTAAAAATTCAACATGAACAAAAATAAATCCATTATATTCATGGTCTCCTAACCGTCATACCTGTTTCTCTTGTGCTGCCCTATTTCAGTAAAAGGTCTCACTTGCTCAAGGAAAAACTGCTGCTTCTCCCTCACCACCCATATCCAATAAGTCACCTGGTCCTGTCAGTGTTACTCCTAAATATCTCTGAAATCCTTCCACGTACTCCATTCCCACTGCCACTCCCTCAATTCAGGACACCATCTTCTCTCTCTGGGATTACAACAGCCATCTCCTAACTGTTCACTCTCTTTGTTCCCAGTCTTGCTGCCCTCCACTCCATTCTCCGCACTATAGACTAGTGTGAATCTCAGCTCTGCCATTTACTGGCTGTACGAAACTGAACAACGCACTTAACTTCTCTTTGCCCCAGTTTCCTCATCTATAAAATAGGAATAACAGCAGGACTTTTCTCATAAAGCTATTATAGAAATTAAATTATACATGAGTTTATACACATAAACCAATTTGAATGGGGCCTGATACATAGCAAGTGTTCCACAAATACAAGTAATTATTATTTTATTAAAAGGCTAATAATACGATTATGATATGCCCTGGCCTCCCTCATTTAAAAAATAAAATACATCCATGCCTCCCTCATTTAAAAAAAAAAAGTTAGGGCTGGCCCAGTGGCACACTGGAGAGTGCGCCGCTTGGGAGCGCGGTGGCGCTCCCGCCGCGGGTACTCTCCCGTGTGAGCCATGGGGTCGGCCCTAAGTGTCCAATTTTAAGGCAGAGAAAAGTGAACTGCTGAACTCTGAGCTGTCAGACACAGAGGCTGGGGCAATTGCGGAATCCACGTGACACATGACAAAACAAACCGTGCACCCCTCTGCGAGCAGCA